AAGTTCCAGGGTTCCATCTGACTATAGCCATGAAGACAGATTACAAATTGAGAAAATTCAGCTCCTTCGCTATATTTATTAGTCATGAGCATCCTTCAAAGTTTGGTAAGAGAATGCAATATACAAACTTCAAACACATACAAAGCCCGAATTTGACAGTTAAAAGTCTGCAGGCATTTCTTAACATTCTGATAACCTGTTCTTCCTATTCCAAGTTTGCTAAAGATCACCTGGATATTCTGTGAACGGAATATGCAAAAGTTGAACTTTTTGTTATTCTTGGCTAAAACAAATGACTGCAAAGCAACATTAAAACTTTATGCCAGCTGTGAAGGACAGTAGAGAAAAAAAACCTCAGCCTCAAGAACTGAAATATGAGCAATCATTGGAGAACCAATATATTTCAAGGTGTATAAAGACATTCTGTTAAAGTATGTAAGGGCGTTTGTCTGTAACCTGAACTTAAACAAACAGGAGTAAATTGAAACCGCAATGGGTTTGATTTACTAAAGGCAAACAGGTTGTTAACTTTGCAAGGGAATTGTCTTTCAGCATAGTGAATGCAGTGTAAATTAACTTTGCAAAGAATACTTAATCATGCGCAAGCAACATAATTAAAAAAAACCTGTATTTTTGGTTCCACATGATTGGATAATAGAAGTCAGCAGAGCTTCACCTCATTCACTAAGCTAATGAATAATTATCTTGCAAAGTGCCAATTCCCTTGAAAAGTGAACAGTCTTTTTGCCTTTAGTAAATCAACCCTTAAAATTCAAGAAAGTTGCCAATAAATATATGGTTTGTATACATGGCCTAAGCTCAGTAGACATTTTGATGTGGTAGCTGAGAAACAATTTGGTATTTTATGAGGACTATGTGGATTAAAAAAAGGAATTTGACCATGGCCATGTTGGAGTTTCCCAGCTATGGTTTTCCCCAAGACCAATAGGTGCCAGAACGCTCGCTCCTCCATAGGCACAAACATGCACGTTCCACAATCTTTAAAGAAAGATGTATAAAGGATGGTTCCACATGATTGGATAATAGAAGTCAGCAGAGCTTCACCTCATTCACTAAGCTAATGAATAATTATCTTGCAAAGTGCCAATTCCCTTGAAAAGTGAACAGTCTTTTTGCCTTTAGTAAATCAACCCTTAAAATTCAAGAAAGTTGCCAATAAATATATGGTTTGTATACATGGCCTAAGCTCAGTAGACATTTTGATGTGGTAGCTGAGAAACAATTTGGTATTTTATGAGGACTATGTGGACTAAAAAAAGGAATTTGACCATGGCCATGTTGGAGTTTCCCAGCTATGGTTTTCCCCAAGACCAATAGGTGCCAGAACGCTCGCTCCTCCATAGGCACAAACATGCACGTTCCACAATCTTTAAGATGTATAAAGGCTGTTGTGTGCATGCATTGCTGGGTGACATTATGGGGTCTATTCACTACGCTGCCGTAGGCAGCCAATTGAAAGACCGACCTGAAGTGAAGTGAGCCGAACGCTGTTCGGCTATTCACTTCAGGCTGGTATGGCTGTTTTCAGCCGTATAACGGCTGAAATCAGCCTTACATCGGGTGGCTTCACGTGGCTTCGGGTCGGCCGAACATGTTCAGCATGTTCGGCC